GCCGCTCAGGCGGCGTAGGGCCCTGGCCAGGCCCATTGGGCGGAGGGAGCCCCTCCACTTGGCCTAGGGGGGGCGGGCGCCCCCGACCTGCTGGGACGAGAAAGGGGCGGAGCATTAGGGGTGCGGGGGCGGCAGGCGTGCCTTCCGGTGGGCCGCGAGGCCCGCAGCGGTCGAGTGGTGGACCTGGACTCCCCTTGCGAGACGGAGGAGTGCAGCGCCCACGGCATATCCCTAGCACACGGGAGAGGCAGTGGCAGCGCGTCAGCACTCTGGGGGATATCCGTGTAGCGACAGGATACTATAGTCGTAAGGCTGTCATGGCAAGGGCCATAGACATCAGACCAGGGCAACCCCTTCAGGTCCCCTCCCACCATGGGAGCTTTTCTGTCCTCTTGATAAATCCTGCGATTTTAAAAAAATACCAGGTACTTACACGGTGCTGTTAATATATTCTAAATTGTACTACATTTATATTTTTTTTGAGTTGGAGTCTCACTTTGTCGCCCAGGCTGGAGTGCAGTGGCACTCATGGGCACCGCAGCCCCGACCTGCTGCGCTCAGGTGATCCTTCCGCCTCAGCCTTCCAACTAGCTGAAACTATACGCATGCGGCACCACGCCCAGCTAATTTTTTTATTTATTGTAGAGATGAGGTCTCATCAAGTTGCCCAGGCTGGTCTCGAACCCGTGGGCTCAAGCAATCTTCTCACCTTAGCCTCCCAAAGTGCTGGGATTATAGGAGTGAGCCACCATGCCTGGCCTAAATTTATAACTTATGTATTCTGTTTATACAGTTTGCACATTGTTGTAAGCACTTTATATGAATTTGCATATTTGAGCCTCAGAGCAAGCCTACGAGATGGACACTGTCCCGTTTTACAGATGAGGAAACTGAGGTGCAGAAAGTTTCAGTCCTCTTAATAAATCACAATAAGTCGCCCAAGATCACAGCTGAGGGATGTGGGACTGAAGGCTGGCAGTGCAGCTCCATGCTCTTAACTGCAAAGGTGTAACTGCTTCTCAGCACAGAGTCTGCTTGGAGGGATGGGTCGGGGCTCTGAGGTCAGCTGTGGTGCAAAAACAGACTCAGAAAGTAACAAAAGGAAAAAAGTAGACAAGTTGAAATTCATCAAAATTTAAAAAGCTTTGTGCTTCAAAGGACACTATGGAAAAAGTGAAAAGACTGGCTAGGCTCAGTGGCTCAGCCTATAATCCCAGGCCAAAGTGAGTGGATTGCCTGAGCCCGTGGATTCAAGACCAACCCAGGCAACTTGGAGGGACTTCATCTCTACAATAAATCAAAAATTAGCCGGGCGTGGTAGTGGGTGCCTGTAGTTCCCGCTACTCGGAAGGCTGAGGCGGAAGGATCGCCGGAGCCCAGCAGGTCGAGGCTGCGGTGGCTGGGAGTGTGCCACTGCACTCCAGCCTGGATGACAGAGTGAGATACCAACTCAAAAAAAAAAACAAACAAACAAAGTAGAAAGAAAATCCACCAACGGGAGAAAATACTATAGTTGTAAATCATATCTGATAAGAAACTTATATCTAAAAGATATAAAGAATACTGGCAACTCAATAATAAAGATAAATAGCCCAGTTTAAAAGTGGGCAAAGGATCTGTATGGGCATTTCTCCAGAGAAGGCAGACAAATGGCCAACAAGCACGTGAAAAGGTACTCAGCATTATTATCCATCAGGGAAATGCAAATCAAAACCACAATGAGATGGCTCCTCACATCCACTTGGGATGGCTAGAATTAAAAAAAAAAAAAAGACAGTAACAAACACTGGAGAGACCGGCACCTTCACACTGCTGGTGGGCATGTAAAATTGCAGCTGCTGTGGAAACGTGTCTGGTATTACTTAAATGGTTAAATATAGAGTTGCCATATCACCCAGCAATTCCACTCCTACATATGTACCCAAGAGAAGTGAAAACAAGTGTCCACACAAAAATTTGTACAGAGACGCTCACAGCAGCATTACTCATGATAGCCAAGAGATGGAAAGCCAAATGTCCATCAACTGATAAATGAAAAAAACATGGTATATTCACCCAATACTGCCTGGGGGGCTGAGGCAGGTGAACTGCTTGAGACCAAGTGTTCTAGGCCAGCCTAGGCAACATAGCAAGGCTTTGTCTCTACCAAAAAAATCCAAAAATTAGCTGGGCATGGTGGCACGTGCCTGTAGTTCCAGCTACTTGGGAGGCTGAGGCAGGTGGATCACCTGAGCCCAGGAGGTCAAGGCTGCAGTGAGCTATGATCATGGCAGCCTAGGCAACAGAATGAGACCTAGACTTAAAAAAAAAGGTGCTGATAGATATAACGCAGGTAAACCTTGAAAACAGTATACTAAATGAAAGAAGTGAATCAGAAGGCCATGTGCTGTATACTTCCTTTTACACGAAATGTCCAGAACACGCAAACTATCAATTAAGAAAACAGACCAGTAATTGCATGAGGTGAGGGAAATGGTAAGATTGCAGAATGATAGCCAAATTTCAAGATCAGGTATATGGAAATGTTCTAAAATTAATTGTGATGGTTGTACAATCATGAATATACTAAGAATCACATAATTGTACACTTTAACGGGTGTATGGTATATAAATCATATTTCAATGAAAGTTATTATGATTTTTTCAGTAGGAGTCTCTGTTGCCCAAGCTAGATTACAGTGGCTTGCTCACGGCCACCACAGCCTCAACTTGCTGGGCTCAGGTGATCCTTCCACCTCAGCCTTTCAAATAGCCAGAACTACAGGCACACACCACCACACCCAGCTAATTTTTTGATTTATTGTAGAGATGAGGTCATACCAAGTTGCCCAGGCTGATCTCGAACCCCTGGATTCGGGCAATCCTCTCACCTCTGCCTCCCAAAGTGCTGAAATTACAGGCCTGAACCACCATGCCTGGCTAAAGTTATTATTAAATAAATAAATAAATGAAACAGCTTCAGCCCTGACCCTCTGATCTTTGGCAATTCTTTCTGAGCCTGTTTCCTCAATTGTAAAGTGGGGGAAATCAAGGTTGGAAAGGGCCTGTCTTATCATATATACCCAAGGCCCAGTCCCAGCTCAGAGTCTGAGCCACCTCAGCCACTTACTAGCCATGTAACTGGTGGCAGGTCACATCCCTTCCCAAACCTCAGTTCTCTCATCTGTGAAATGGAGAGAATCTCAGCGGTTTGACAGGTAGGGGTAAGGAGGGAGGGGGCAGGCATGGTCCTGCAGACCTCAGTTTCCTAGCAACCACAACACTTGGTCCTGTAGCTGGGGCACTGCCAGGGCCTGGCTAGATTAGGACAAGCAGGGTTAAATAATTTGCACATCAAGTCCTCCTGTATTTACCCAGCACCTATGTGCCCTGTGCCCACTGTACTGGGCCCTGGGACACACTGTGGGGGAGAGGACTGCCACATGGAGCCCTGCCACATGGAGTTTATTAGGCTCACCTGACAGAGGAAAACTGAGGCTCGAGTCTGAGTGGACTGAGCCTGGTACACGGCTCCCTCGATGTACCCCAACCCTGACTCTTCTCATCCTCAACCAACAGTTCTCCCAAGGGGCGGGTTTGAGGTCAGGATCTAGGATGCAATATCTACTCTTGCACCCCTCTCTAACCTGGATACCCCAACTTCTCCAGAACAGGCTAGGGAGAGGGATATGGGGCACCCATGCTGGCCCAGTGCCCTACCCCCAGCCCTGCCGCAGACAGGGCCTCACCCACTCACCATCTCTAACCACAACCCTCTGGTGCAGGGACTTCCCTTTCCTCAGGTCCCTCAGCCAGGAAGGGTGGGTGTGGCAAGACCCAGACTCCCATCCAGGCCTCTCAGGTGCTGAAGCCAGATGGTCTTATCAAGCGCACTCTTGTTTTCTGAGCATTACTGTGTGCCAGGCCTCGTGCTGCCTCCTGTAACATTCATAGCTCCCCACCAGACTCCACCAGACCCCTCTGCTCACCTTGACTGCTCAGGATGCTGGGAGGTCAAGATCATCACCCCTCACAGTTGGGGCACAGGCTCAGAGAGCGCCGTGACCTGGCCAGCCCCACAGTGCCAGGTGGAATGCTGGTTTGGGTCCTCAGCCTTTCCTTCCCAGGACTCTGCCCTCTAAATCCTCAGGCTTGCTTCAGCCCTGGAGGCAGACCTGACTGAGCCCGTCCCACAAAGCCCACGGGGACATTCACTAGGGGGCTGTCTGCACCCAACATGGCCCAGCTCCCAGGCTAGTGAATGCGACTCGGGCTTGGGGCACCCCCCTTTCCTGGCAAAGGCAGGAGGGGAGGGAAAAGGATCCTGAGCCCGAAGTCCTCCCCCCCATCCTCCACCTGACCTGGGAGAGCAGCTTAATGTTTCCATATAAAGGAGACACGGGGCTTAAGGTGCTTCAACTTCGTGTCAAAGTCAATGTCTAATCTGAGGCCAAGAAGCCCCGCCCCCAGGCCCCAACCCCCTACGGCCAAAATTAACACACACACTTTTGAGCAGGCATGTTTCCCTCTACTCCTCACCCACCCCACGGGGGTGAACAGTAGGCTGGAGGGCAGAGACTGACAGGAGAGGAGAGGGGGACAGAGAGTAAAGCAACACGGGGACAGGGCAGGAGGAGGGTGTTGAGGGGATCCCTGAGACAGATGTACAGAGACCCAGCAGGGGGACAGGGGGACAGGAGAACAGGGACCAGGGGCAGACTCAACAAGGGGACAAAGGACCCAAAGGCCGGTGGGGGGTGGGGTGGGGACAGGGACCCAGAAGTGGGGGACAGAGGTGGGGGTGAGACAGAAATCCGAAGGGGTTAGGGACCCAGGGGGAGACAGAATCAGCAAGGGGACAAGGACCCAGAGGTGGTAGGGCAGCGACCCAGAAAAGGGGGACTGAGATTCAGAGAGAGGGACAGAGGCCCAGAAAAGAGACAAGCTAAGGGCAACTAGGGAAAAGAGAACTGGTGATCATGTCTTCAGCGAGGGAGAGACGGAGAGAGGACCGCAAAGACGGAGGGAGCCAGCAGAGACATGGATGGGGAAGGGAGGCTCTCTGAAAGGAAGGATGGGGGTAGGGAAACAAGGCAGAAAACGGGCATGGAGTCAGAACCGGAGGCCCCGAACACAGGACAGAGACCTTCTGGGGCTGGAGCCTCGCCGATGGAGGACGGGCCTTTGTGAGGGTGGCACGGGATGGGGAGGCTGGGCAGAGCGGCCCAGCTGGGCTTGGGCAGGGAGGACGGGGCAGCGGCAGGAGGGAAGAGGAGGGCTGACCGCCCGGACCCTCTGAAGGCACGTACCTGGTGGGGCAGCCCACCCCCATGCCCTCTGCTGGGGGCTCCTAGGCTGTGGGGACGCCTCTGCGGTGCCAAGAGGGGCTGTGGTCTGTCCTTGGCTCCAGGGGCCTCGTGCCGGGCACCGACCTCTGAGTCCACAGGCGGATCAGAGGCCTGGGCGGAGGGGGCAGGGGGTGGGGCCAGCTCAGAGCCGCAGAGGGGGAGCCAGGGAGGATGGCCAGGCAGGGCGGCTGGGCCGCAGCCCAGGCAGGCTGGAGACGGCGGTGGAGGAGGCAGAGATGGGGGGGCAGGGAGACAGACAACAGGCAACAGGAGACTCTGAAAGATGGGGACACAGGAAGAGACTGGGGAATAAAGACGTAGATTATGAGAAAGGGGAGATGGAGGGAAGGAGAAATGGGGGCTCCCTGGCTCCTCCTCAGACGAAGCTTTAATCAGTTGGAGGGCACAGGATGAGGAACCCTTTCCTTGACGCAGGGTGAGTTCCAGAAGGAATACAATTTGGGGAAGATGGAGCCAGATGTGCCCAGTGAATTGAGGGCTGGAATGTGTGGGACCCTCCAGCCTCTCCCAGCCTAGCGGTCGAGGCACAGCTGGGTGCCAACATCCTGCCTCCCCTCCCCCTCAGCTCCCTCACAGGGATGTGGCCGAAGGACCAGAGTCACACGCATCCCTCAGGTTTTATTCCGGTCCTTTACTGCCTCTCAGGGGCCTTGACTGTCCTCCCGACGCAGCATGGCCTTCAGCCCCCCAATGGGAAATCCTGGTCAAACACAGGTGGCAGGAAGACAAGGAAGGGGCAGGTCCCAGTCATGTCTGACTCCCACTGTAGAGCCCCCGAGTTCCCCGGGAAGACCAGCAACCAAGACTGGTCCTGGGGCAGAGAGGTCAAAGGATGAAGCCAGGCATCACAGCTGGTGAAAATCCACTGCCACACAGGCCAGCCAAGTCCTCGACAGGTGGGGTCGCTGGGCTAGTTTTCAGGTAGGGGCAGCTCCACAGAGCCACAGTCAAACCAAATCCTTTGGCAAGAGAAGTCCCTGAACCAAACTGGGTCCTTTTAGAGAACATCAACAGAATCCATCATGGCAGCCAACGGGCCCATCAGACCAAGAGTATCCTTTAGAGAGGGGCTTAGTCAACAGACCTGAATGAGCCCCTTCCGGGAAACCCACCTCAGCTCTGGTTCCCAAGCAGAAGAGCAGCCCCATTGGCTGCCTCACACGCTGATGGTGCGGAAGACGGTGAAGCCGGACAGGGCAGTGCTGACTAGGATCCCAGGGCACTGCGGGTGCCAGTGCAGCTCCTTCAGGTCTGTCTCACCCTGGTGCACAAACAGCAGCTGCTGCGGGAGGTCAGCCAGCCCAGGGTCGGCCTCTGCATCACCAGCTTCAGGATCCCGCTCCACTGCCAGGTCCCACTGTGTGATCTGGTTGTCTGCCCCCGAGGCTGCGAAGACTCCACTGTCCTGGGGGTGCCACTCAACGGAGGTCACGGGGGCCACATGTTGCTTGAAGGTGGCCACTGGAGAGCCAGACTTTGGGGAGAGGATGGAAGTGAGGGGTTCAAAACGTCTCAGCCTGACCCTTAGGGGGACCCAGGCAGAGCCCCCAACCCCTCTTCAGCCTTAGGGTTCAACCAGGGCTCTCCACAAGCCCAGAGTCCATGAAAATGACACAGGGCGAAGTACAGCTGGTGATAAGGCCTGTCGCCCAGGGGCTGCTGGGAATTGTAATTTCGCCTGCCAAGCAGCCCCTCCTGATTCAAGCCACAAGATCTCACCTCTGCACTTCCCTATGCATGCCTCAGTCTCCATCCTATAAAAGGACGGTGGCTCTCCCAGAGAATTCTACAAAGGCCTCAAAGGGGGTAGAAGCAGGACTCCAGAAGCCTGAGAGACAGCCAAGAACAGCGGAGATCAACAGCACTTTTGCTCGAGCAAAGGTGTGGCTGGGAATCAACATCTCTTACTGGGAGAAGTGGCCCCAACATTCCCGCAGCTGACAGGCTGGGTCAGGCCCAGACTCTCACATTAGCAGCCTCCCCAGGGCTGACTCTTCAGAATGGATTAAACTGGAGGTGGAAAAAGACTGATAATCTGGTGGCCTCAGGAAGGCCTGGAGCCACATGAAGCTATGGCTTCCCCAGAGGGTCTCTAGACGCTGCCATGTCCCCTACCCAGGGCCCCTTCCAGCTCTCCAGCTGCCAACTCTTTGCCTGGCTGTGAGGTCACATCTGTTCCTGTCCTGTCAGTGCCCCAGTCCTCTCCTGCAATGAGTGAGCTGGGCCCTGATTCGCAGCTGATCCCTGAAGCCCTAGGTCCACTGGCTATCTAGCCAGCTGCGCCTCTGCCCACAGGCAGATGGGGGCTGGGGGCTGTGCTGTCCGCCAGCTTCTTTCATTTCTTGTCAGCTATTCCCCTGGTGGAGTGAGTGACCCCACACCAGCCACAACCCTTTCTCTTGCTAAGCCTTAGTTTCCTGGACTCTAATTCTAAGGGCCTTCCCATCTCTGGTTGTATAAAACCCTCTCAGGAGGAAAAGACCTACAAATCCCAGTGGCTGCTGGGAGCGGCAGCTTGCCTAGCCCCAGGTGTCCAGTTGGGAAAATACCTTGAACTGCCGAAGGTCCCAGACCTTAAGGGCTCCATCGTCCCCGCCACTGAGCAAGAAGGGCTCCCGGCGGCTCCAGCTGATGACGTTGATGTCCCCATCGTGGGCAGTGGTTGTGGTGAGCATACAGGCCTTGCTGGGGGCTGCCCGGATATCCCAGATGCGAATGGAGGCATCAGCTGAGCATGAGGCAAACACCTGCACAAGGTGAGTCTGAATGACCCAGATGCATCTTCCAGCCCACAGTGAGGACCAGGAAGCAGTGTGGCCAACCCTCTATTTCAGTGTTCCCTTACCAGGCCTGGAACGAAATCTCTGCCAGGCCCAAGGCCCCTCTTCCCTCTGACTCAGGCTTCTAGTCCTTAGCCCGTCCCCACCAGACCCAGGCATGCAGATCCCCAGCCCTCCCTCACCGTGTCCTCAGTTGGTGACCACTGCAAGTCCTCTACGGAGCGTGTATGACCCACAAATGGCCGCTGGTCCACATGCCAGGAGCCGCCATCTGTAGGTGTCCAAAGGTGGATGTTTTTTTGACAGTCGCCGGTCAGCAGGCGACCTGAGGAAGGGAGTCAGGAAACCACCTCATGCCACCTGGCCTCAGCTCACTTCCCCCCCCGGAGTCTAAGCACCTACCCTTGCTGCGGACCCAGTTCCCCACAACCTCTCAGGACCACGTGTATACCCCAGAAACTCACCAGGCACACGGGGGGACCAGTCGAGTGCAAAGCCCTCGCCCATGTGGCCAGCAAAGGAGAAGATAGGCTTCATGCCGGCCTGCTCATTGCGGAGGAAGGCAGCCAGGGCCTGAGCATCATCTACCACCTGCAGGAGCCGCCGCAGTGCGAACACCTCCACCTGGCCCTTCTCTGACCACACCCCAGCCACAGGCTCCTCGCCCAGCCATGACACCTACAAGAGAGAGGGGAAAGGGTTATGTGAAGCGGGGCTCAGGAGGCTTTCCCCATCCCTGACCACCAGAACTGCAGTTCCGCAGAGCTCCCAGACACCTCTGCGAGACCAGCGTGGTAACAGGACAACCCTCCCCCCAGGATTGGGGTGGGCAGAGCGGGCTGGGCAGGAGGCCAAAACTCCAAGGCACCTGGGAACTGAGGCTGCAATTCCTGCCAGCCCCGAGGAGTGTGTTCAGACTCCTGGTCTCTGCAACTCCTAAATGCTGAGGGCCACAGGATGCAATCCTTCGACCTCGTGGCTCTGCAGCTTTGCTCACCAGATCCCGTCCAGCCTCCTGGTTTCCAGCCTCCCCACCCCCTGCCCTGACCTCTCTCCTGAGCTCCAGACTCTTACTGTACTGACTGTTCAAACTAAACATGACCAAAGCCAAGCTCCTCATAGCCACCTGTGACTCCTCCCCAGGGCTCCCCACCTCAGGCCCCAAACTGCAGGACTCATTCTTGGGTCTCTTCTTCCTCCTGTCCAACACCTTTGCTGGCTACACTTAAAAAGGATACTTCCAGCACACTTCGCACGACCCCTAGTGCTGTCACTCACACTACTACTGATGCTATCCTTCCCCTAAAGAGCCTCCCCACAATTGATTCTCAACACAGAAGTCAGAAGGATACCTTTATTTTATATCTTATTTATTTTGAATTAAGAAAGGAAGATATTGTTGTGAAGAGCATAATGGCCAAGACAGCAGTGAGAGTGTTTGCTGCCTTCCTATTTTTTCAAAAATAGAGATGGAGGTCTCACTATGTTGCCCAGACTGATCTCAAACTCCTGGTCTCAAATGATCCTCTCACCTCAGGCTTCCAGAGTACCTGGATTAAAGGCATCAGTCACCACGCCTGGCTTCCTTTTAGTTTTTTATTTTTACTTTTGAGTCTGGGACTCACTCTGTTGTCTAGGCTGGAGTGCAATGGCATGATCACAACTCATCACAGCATCGACCTTCTAGGCTCAAGCAATCCTGCCACCTCAACCTCCCAAGTAGCTGGAACTATAAGCACACAGCACCATACTCAACTAAGTTTTTAATTTTTGTAGAGATGAGGTCTTGCTCTGTTGTCCACACTAGTCTTGAACTCTTGGGCTCAAGCAATCCTCTCACCTTAACTTCCCCAAGTGCTGGAATTATAGGCATCAGCCACCATGCCCAGCCTCCCTTTAAAACAAAAGCCAGGCCAGGTGCAGTGGCTCATGCCTGTAACCCCAGCACTTTTGGAGGCTGAAGCGAGGATCACTTGAGTCCAGGAATTCGAGACCAGCCTGGGCAACAGAGTAAGATCCTATCCCAATTATAATTAAAAAAAAAAAAAAGGCTCAAAAAACAAGACCTGTTTTTCCTCTGCTTTAAACCCTCAAATGGGTTCCAACTTCTCCCAAGTAAAAGCTCACATCCTTACAATGGCCTACAAGGGCCTAAACTATCTCCTTTGTGCCCATCCTCCAAATCTTGTCACTTTACCCCTTGTTCATTTGGCTCCAGACACACCAAGTTCCTCAGCTTCTCTTGAAAACTCCTCAAACATGCCAAGTTCACCGCAGGGCCTTTGACCTCTGTTTCCCTCATGAGCAAATTGTTTTCCACAGATTTCCCTATTACCTGTGGTTACCTGTTCTAACAGCACTTTATCACTGGATACTTCCCTAATCACAGCATTTAAAATAGAAGCCTCACCCCAGGAACACCCTAACCCTCCTTCCCTTGTTTCATCTTAATTTTAATTTCCCTCCACAATACTTAGCACCTTTGGACATACTACATATTTACTATTTTCTTTTCTTCTTTTTGAGTTGGAGTCTCACTTTGTCGCCAAGGCTCACAGCCACCGCTGCCCTGACCTGCTGGGCTCAGGTGATCCTTCCACCTCAGCCTTCCAAGTAGCTGGAACTACAGGCACGTGCCACCACGCCTGGCTAATTTTTGATTTATTGTAGAAATGAGGTCTCACCAAGTTGGCCAGGTTAGTCTCAAACCTGTGGGCACAGGCAATCCTCTCATCTTGGCTTCCCAAAGTGCTGGGATTATAGGCATGAGCCACGGCGCCTGGCCCACATTTACTTTTTTCTTGTGTTCTTCCTCCACTAGCATTTAAGTTCATAGAGCCTTTTGCCTGCTGCTAAATCCTCAGGCTCTGGAATAGAATTGAAATGTGGTAATAGTTTAATGGAAACACATAGCACCAGCTGTAGGCCAAGTACTGCTCTAATTGCACTTCATACACCACCGCATTTTATTCATACATCTACCTGATCAGAAGATATTTTAACTTTGAAGCAAAAAACATGTCACTGCACTCCAGTCTGGGTAACAAAGTGAGACCCTGACACGAAGAGACAATGACAAAGAAAGAAACAAAAAACCCCCATAGCCCAAAACAGTTCCTCAGTAATAATATAACAGGAAGCATATATCTCATATTATAACCAGGTGCTATTTGAGGCTGTTACCATCATACCAAAGAACATAAAAAACATTCTCATAATCTAAAACAGTATTTAAGCCGAACTCGGTGGCTCAGCCTGTAATCCTGCACCTTGGGAGGCTGAGGTGAGTGGATTGCC